AACATCGAACATTCTTCCTCCGCCCCGCATAGCATGGTCCGGAAATAGTGAGGGCTTCCAAAACAGGATCAAAAATGGAGGTGCTTGTGTATATGGTTATTCTTTGCAACAAGTGAAAAACAATGTATTTCTATTTTATCTGGATTGCTTAAGACACTGTCCATGTGCTGACTAAGGGTTTCTTTTTTTTTTTTTTTTTTTTTTTTTTTTTTTTTTTTCCCCGTGTTCTTTTTTTTTTTTTTCAATGTTTCAAACCACGCAAACCTGAAAATGAAAATGAAAGGATACGGTAAACAAAAAACAACCCGATGCCATGAAAAACGGTAGATACTGAACCATTTACGCAAGCTGGCATTTTTTGCTCTTTCCTTCTCTTTTCGGGAGTTCGAAAGGAAAGCAGCGAGCAAAAAAAAAAAAAAAAAAAAAAAATATGGTAACCGCAAACCAACGAATCAATAAGTATCATCACGATGTCGATCACGGGAGTCAACAACGTGATGTGACTCTCATGCGTGTGAAAGGAACCATTAGCCCAATAAAAAAAAAAAAAAAAAAGAGCTTCTACCTTTTTTCCTTTCGCTGTCGCCCTGGGCTTCAGGAACTGGATCCGCCGATACGAGCTGGCTGGCGGCTCAATGTCAACGTTGAGACGAAGATCGACATGTTGGACTCAATCTGCTTGAGCTGGCTGGGCTGATCGAATGTGATGAGCCTATGGCACGTTGCCGTGGTGGTGGCTTCTCTCATTTCCCTTCTTCTTCCGGAGAATGAAGTTATATCCCCGTGCCCTCATGCTTCAATAATCGGCTCAATACTGAGGCTTGTTTTCTATTCGTCGGATGACAGACAATTTTGGCTGAGAATGTTAACAAATAATGATACACAACTTTCATTGTATTTTTAATTTTTTTTTTTTTTTCTTTTTTTTTTTTTTTTTGGTCTTTGAATAAAAAATGAAAATGATAAACGACAACTTTTTCGTTTTGCATACACCGTGTCCGTTCGGCCATGATACGGGACGAGAGGAGTGGAAAAATGAAAAAGAAAAATCCCCGGATCCAAACTAAAAGCGACTCGATTGGGTTACGATCTCTCTCGCCCAATCACCCCTGTTTGGCTCTGCCGTGTCTTTACGCGTTGGTGCTTACCCTTATGCAAGCACTCTGAAGGGACACAAAACCCCACACATCCGCGCGAACGAGGATTCAAGGGACAGCTTACGAGGGACGGACAGCCGGGATCAAAGGCTAGGATCAAGGGATGGCTGCTCCAGGGACAGCGAGGGGCGTTTTCCCCAAATATGAAGAAGATCGCACTGCAAATCGTTGTCTAATAGTTGCGCCGCTGAGATCGCGATACTGTTAAAGTCTTGGAGGCAATGTGCTTGAACTGGATAAGCAGAATACTGATTGCGAGGAGAAAAGCGTGCGGGCCATTCGCCCTATGCACAGCCCGATGTGATATCTGGTTGCATGGGCAGAGATGAGATCGAGTCTCCTTACCACCAGCGAATCTTCGAGGACGGGAATTTTGGGAGTTTTGCGGCTGCAGACTCTAAATATTCGTTAAGTGTCACGATTATTTGGAGGACCATTTCGATGGTGGTGATGGTGGCTGATAGATCATGATCATGCTCTGTTCGGGGCAAGATCTTTTGGTGGAAACCTTATTTTGTTTCTGCCTTGGTGCCATTTTTCTTTTCTTTACTTTTTCTTTTTCCTTTATCCTCTTAAATTTTCTTTGATTACGAGATTTCGGCGCAGCAAGGCCACGCTGTTCTTGATGGCTATTTCTTAGACTTCTGAATATTTTTACATAGTACTTTTGAAATCCAGCCCCACTTCTCGGATCCTCGAGATGCCGTCCAGGAGAAAACGTTGGGTAGCCACAGCTTCTACCCCACGAATTTCTCTGATCAGCCTGGCTAAAAGGAAATATATTTTCCTTTCAGGGAGAAAAGCTCTATTATTTCACGGGCAAAAGTGGAAGTCGTACAACCGACT